CCAAATCCATCATTAAATTACTAAACATGCCTTGAACCAATCACTAGGATGTTGAATTGGCCATTAGATCACTGAACCAGTACTGAATTGGCTTGTATAGTACTAAACCGACTCCAAACCAGCCTTTAATGCCCTAAACTCTCCCTAAATTGGCCTCTAATTCCTTTGAACTAGCCTTTAAAACATTAAATCAGATGTATAATACACTGAGCTGGACATATAACATACTAAATTTGGCTATATGACACATTGAATTGGTTGTTAAAGCACTGAACTAGACACTTATTATACTGAACTTGGGCTAATAAACACTGAACCAGTAGACTATGACACTGTACCAGTCTACCTAAGCACTGAATCGATATTAGATCCAACCCAATCTAGCCCAATTTGGTTTGGTAACTTGCTCCAGAAGCCCAACACAAAGTCCTAAGCCAACTGAGCCTAGCCTAGTCCAATAGATTGGTCTACCAAAGGGCCTATTCGCCCCATTCACCCAGATTGGTCCAAAAATAATTCTGGGTCCAGTTTAGGGAACTAGATCCCGTGCAACCCGACTGCCCTAGTCGAGTCTTCTTCCTTACATGATTTTTTCCTAAAAGAATAGAAGACTAACTTGGATTGATTGACCTCTAATTCCTTAATGGCAAACTGTGGTTGGGATTGTAATTAACCATCGATGCTGGTTGCAACAAATTATGGGTTAATGGCTACCTCAACACCATGAATTCCAGGTTTTAAGCTTCGACTATTGTGAGCTATTAACAGAGGAAAAACTGAGAAAATCACATGCAAAAGGCAATTTGGGAGAAATTGGTTTAAATTCTTGTTCTATGAGTGTCGATTTTCACATATATTTGCTCAATCGAAGATTGAATCACTATTATCCTACAGATTTGATCAGATCAAAGCTAAGGTTTCTAAAAAGGAAATTTGGGGATGAACATGATCATATTTTAAGGTTCTCTAGATCTGGTCCCTGAAATTTTCTAGTTATTCTTATTTAGACCCCAACAATTAAAATCAATTCAATTATGCCCTTGAAATTATTTTTAGGCTCCTAACTCTTTGTTTCTTTCAATTAAATTCCCCGATTAAGGGCATTACAAAGTGGAATTGGACAACAAATATAATCTTTTTAATGAACAATGTCTAATATATATTGTGTGCGAATTGTACGATGATGAAATTAAAATGTTAGAGTTTTTTAGCATCAATGTATAATGACACAAATCATTTGTATAAATTAAAAGGCCAAGTAAGGTGAGCAAAATTTCTAATATGAGCTGTAATCCAATTAATCAAATAATCCCACTCATGAATGAAACAAAGTATTTTAACATTTTTGAAATGATTTGTGAAAATTCCACTAGTTCGGTAAACATTCAAAACAAAGCCTTTCGGAGCTATTCCAACTTACCGCCGTAGAAGACCCATTGAAGGAGGCAAAATTGTGGAAGGGAGAAGGAAAGAAGAGAAGATAGAGAAGAGAAAGATCCAACTTGATATAACTGAGAGAAAGAGAGAAAGAGAGTAAAAAGGATGATGCAACCATTTTTGTCTCAACGGAGGGGTAGCCTTTTTGTAATTTTATATTAATATTAATAAAAAAATTTATTTACCAAAATGCACGTTTATGGAATTGCTTACCAAAATAGGTTAAATACTGCTTAAATTGATAAATAGGGTTCTGGGAACTCATTTTTGTTGAGAAATCAAGTCTTAAGGAACCAATTTCTCTACAAAAATCGGTTGCTAAAGACCGATTTCTAAAGAATCAGGTTCTTAGGACCTAATTTCTCAACAAGCAAATAGTAAAAAAATAATATTTTTCTTTTTTTTCTTGAAAATTGAATACAACTTGCTGATTCACTATTAGACTGGCTAGTTACTTGGTTTATTTTGAACTAGAACTTATTTTTTATACAAAAAATTTAAATGATTATAACCTTAATACATAGCTTTGTGTTTGACATTTTTTGATAGTAATAAAGATAGCTTTTAATGAATTACTCTTTTCCACCAAATTTTAAAAAAAGGAATAGAGTTGGGGAGAGAGGGGGAATGGCTTGTTTGTTACTTTTATAAACGTATTTTGGTACTTATTACTAATTATAGAGGGTTGTATTAAGCTTAGCCAGGGTTGTTTGATCTCTCAATTGAAAAAAAATTACAAGTTTCTTTCGGGTTAGTTTTTACATTGTGAGGTTGAGGTTGCATTTTTGTTTGGGTAAAAAAATTATTTTATTTTCTTTTTAGGTTTGTAAGATGTGTTTGTATTAATTTCTTTAATAAAAATAATACAATTTTTAGTTTTTTATAATAAATATTTTTTTACAAGGGTAAGAAAAACTCACCTCTCTCCATATTTACTTGAATAACACTTAGTATAATTTTCATCATAAAAAACACTTTCTCCCTTTAACTATCTGTTGACTAACAATTGCTTAATGATTTTGTTATAAAAGATATGAAAGTAACTCAATTTTGCACATTTTGGTTATCCATCTAATTAAAAATTAAAAATATTATTTGATTTAATTATTTTTTAAATTTCTTATTTTTTTCAAAAAATCTAACTTTTGATAATTTAATTTTATTATTTTTAGTTATTAAATAATTTTTATTTTATTAAATTTTTATTTTTATTTTAAATGTTAAAATAAGGATAGTGGAGTGTTATCTAAGTTAGAAAATGGTTGACTATCATTTAAAATTAAAAATGTTCAATAAATTTAAAATATTATAAAATAAAAATTTTAAAAATAGTAAAATTATATTATCAAAATGTGACATTTTTTATTTTTTTAAATTTTAATTAAAAATTAAAAATTAAAATTTTTTATGTAAATATAAGTAATATTTTAATTTTTAATCAGATAGGTAACTCATGCCGGTGAAATTGAGTTATTCTCATTTTTTTTTTAAATAAAATTGTAAACAACTGCTATTTGAAAGAGAGAAAGTATTTATCATAACAAAAATAATGGAGTTAAGTATCATTTAAGCAAGCTTAGAAAGAGATGACTGTTTTTTTTTACCCTTTTTATAAATGCCAAATCTCAAAAATTCAAATTTTTTATTCTTATAAAAAATATTTATATACTAAAATAGCCTAAAACAAAATGCTCTCTAAAGACTGAACAGGTATCCATGTTTTTTATTTTATTTTATATTCTTTACATCTCATTTTTTTCTCATTTTCTATATGTAATTTATGTTTATTTCATTGAAATCTACTGTAGCAAACAATCTTATTTTTTAGTTTGGACCAATCTAAAAACTTTGAACCGCGTTTTCTGTCTAAATAAAAAAGGATAGAGTTACCATTATGGTGCTTTTTAAATTACTATTTTTTTAAAAAATAAAAATTATTTTAATTAAGAAAAATAATTAAATGATCTTAGATGCTAAAATAACTTTAGAATTTCAAGTGTTGTTGATCTTAAAAAAAATGCAAAATAAAAAAGTAAAAAATGGAGTTATATATTAAAAGTTATGATTGTTTAATTTTTTGTACAAAAAATAAATTGTAGTTCACAATAAACTAGGTAATTGGCCGGTCTAATAATGTAATTTTGGGCATTATTCAAATTTTCAAAAAAAATATTAGATTTTACTGTTTACCTCTTGAGAAATCAAGTCTTCAGGTTCCAATTTCTCAGCGTGAATAGTATTTAAACTATTTTGATAAATAATTCTATAAACAAGTATTTTGATAAGTAAAATTTTTTTATTAATATGAATATAAATTATCCCACCCTTTTCTACATGTTTCTGGGTTTTTTGGAAAATTGTACAGTCCTGGATCATGATTATTAACTTCTTTAGAGTCCTTTTTGTAGTTTTTTATTCTCCAAGGAGTCGTCATATGTTATTTCTCCATATATACATATATATATATATATATATCTTTTGAATGGTGCGTGATATGATTGAATTTTGTCAAAAAAACAGGTATAGAATTTTTAAAAATGTGTTTTATAAGTATTTTAAAATGTAAATCCTCGTTCATATAGAATTATGATTCTATTAAATGAAATAATTTGAATTTTATTATTAAAAATATAGATTTCATTTCATTATCTCAATGTTTAACTATCATACTATCTCTATTTTTTTAAAAAATAAAAGACAAAATTATGTTATAGATATCAAAAATTACAAGTGTGTGTTGAAAATTAATATATAGATATAATAATTTTAGATAAATACATATAAATATATAAAGTGAAATTTAATATTTTACTGTTAAAATATAAAATTTTTTATTTTTCAGCTATTTAGTATGCTTATAACAAATTAAAAGTTAAATTTTATTTAATTTTTAAAATTTTCTAATAAATAATATTTTTATCTTTAAACAATCGTGTTGTTTCCTTTCATTACTTTTATCTTAGTATACTAAATAAAATAATATTTTTTTTTTATTTTATTATTATTTATCAAATATACTTATAAAAATTTTTGTTCCTATTTCTGGTTTATCAAAAATCAAATCATTATACTATATATCATCTCAGTCCTTAGTCGGACGGTAGTTCCAAACAAGGGAGCATGACAAGCCATAGAGCCATGCAGCTAGTCTTTTCAGGCATGAACACTCGTCTAAAAGTTGGAGGGAGCAAAATCATCCCCCACCAGAGGCGATCAACCATATTAAATACAGTATGTAGCATGGGGGAAAAAATCAGCAAACCACTTTTTCTACTTCATACACTTCTACCAACAGCAAGGTAAAAACAGATTTTAGCTTCCAGTGGATTTATTGAACTAATAAATAATATTACAAATGTTAAATCAGACTAAGTATGATGGAGAACGGCACCTGTATAGATATCACGCTAGCATTATTGTATTGCAGGCTCTGTATGAGATGCTGCGCCTTCAATCTCTAAAATACTTTGGTAAACGAATAATTCTTGTCAACTTAAGAGAGTAATTTCGATCACTAACCAAGTCATGCTTTCCTTGATGTTTACTCCATATGGGTAATCTTCTCAATAGTAAAAAATTCGGGTTGCATATTCTAGAAGCTGCTCCAGAGCATCGGGAGAAAACTTCCTCGCAAAAAGATAGCACAGCTTTGTAGGCTTGCCATTGTGGAAGCAAGTTTCACCTCTAAACATTCGCTTGAAAAGCTCCATTTTAATATCATCCTTACCAAAAGTAGCAGGATGAGCTCCACCACGAGACCAATCCACCCAAGTAAGACTCCTGTTAGCCAAGAGAAGGGGAGATTGAATACTTAGCATGGTTGGAAAATAATGCTCATCGGGGTAGCATTCTCCTGTGCAGAACTGTTCAAACTTAGAGTGGAAGATGGAATCTCCAACAATGTCAAGGGCCAGTTTGCGGTTGACTTCAAACCACTGAGACCCTTTTCGCCACTCGGTAATGTTGATCTCAGGTGCCATTTTTTCACTGTAGCGCCCTCTTCCAGTAAATCCCGGGTCATCAAATGAACCATGAAGCTGTGTTGGGATCCGGCGAGGTATAGGTGGACAACACTGAAAGGGTGAAGAGGGATGCATGACTCGGAGAGGAGGACAAACCATTCATTGGAGATATCCAGCAGTGCGTTAGCTAGGAGTCTTCTCTCAGCATCACACATGTTCATCATTCCCCATTCGGAAACCTACGTGCAAGCAAAGCAAGTCCAGGAATGAGAAGGATGAAAATGTACTTCCACAAGTGAAATTTGAAAACAAAGAATGGCCTGTGTATAATTTGTACAATTGCCCTCACTGATTTCAAAAATTGTCCCCGTGGTAATCTTGAAAAAATTTGTACAATTGCCCCACTAATTTTACGAATAAGACCCTATAGATCATGAAAATTTTGGACTTCTATGCAAAATATAAAGGAGAAACAAAGATCTAAACCAACCAAGCTGCAAAGAAGTGAATGTTGAGCCGATAGACAAGGGCTGAAGTAAATATTAGTATTAACCAGTGAATTATCCTATATTATAGTCTTTGTTGGACAAAGGAAGAATGACACTTACCCTGATTTGAAATGTACGTTTTTTTGAGAAAAAGTGCATCAAATTATTTAATGGCATTTAAAAGATCGAACTTTAAAATATCTAGTTTGGGTCATAAAGGGAAAATAGGAATTTGTGATGGAGGAAATTCACTTATAATTCGGAGAGCCAAAAAAATCACAGAAAGATAGACTATTACATAACCAGTTAATAGTCCAATTAATGATGAACAATCAAATCTAAAATGGCCAAAACATAAAAGCATGTTGCAATCCGATTAACAAATACAGTAAATTTTAGAAGCTTATGAATACACTATAAAAGTGCATGAAGAAAAAGCGGATCCGGTGGTTTCTTGGAGAGATAACAAGAGTACAAAAGTGCTCTAAATCATTTCATTGAAGACAAAATTGAATTCATTTTCACATTAGTTTTAATTCTTATATAACAGCAAGTATCATCCAGAAGGAAAATAAGGGCCGACACCATCTAGAAGAGTAACAGATGATATGCTTGGTTGACAAAACATAGTTACCAAATTCACAGTACTTTGTGGTACATGGTACGGGTATGGGTACACAGTACTAATTTACTAAAATTATGTTATGCTGGGATAGGATAGGCTTGGTTGATATACTCTTTTGGTACGTGCTATATTCAAATAGTACATGTTTCTAATGTAAATTTTTAAGAAATTTAAAAATAACATTGACCTAATTTTTTTAACAAAATATTATTTTGAAAGAAAGTAGTTGATAGAAAAGAGCTAAATACATGTTATAAGAATTCAATTGAATGAAATTAAAAAGGGTATAAATGAAGAAATTTAAAATTTGAGAATAATATAGAGATATTGGAACAATAAGGACCAAATTGAAAGAGGAGAAAAATCTCATGGGACCAATGTGCAAAGCCCTCTCTGTACCATCGGCTTTTCTCCTCATTGTCAGCCATAGCCTCGTAGTTCTAAATCAAATTAGAAGCCACGATCGAGCTTAAGTGTGGGAAGAAAAAAGATGTAATTTCAAGGAGATTTGGCAACATTTTGAATTGATTTAGAAGCCACAACCTATGTCTTTCGGTCATGGGTCTACCTATTACAACCTCTCCTCTCTCTCTCTCTGCTACTACCTCTCCTCTCTCATCTTTGTTCTGCAATGGCTGACTCTTCCTTTCATTTTCCCATTTTCTTCATTTTCTTTTCTTCAAATTTACGGTTCTCCTCTTTTAATGATCTGGATCGCATATCCGAGCGTTTGAGATCACAAACGTATTGTGAATTAGAATGCACGAACCAATTCGGGGTACTCACGGTAGTCGAGAAATTTGGTAACTATGTGACAAAATGATATATGGATTTCAGGGTTCTGAAGTATATTATACTTCAAATCAAGTGATATCTCATCTGACATTATTTCTAGTTACATCTAGTAGAGAAATTCCAAACTTGCTAAAGTTAAAAAATAATTCTAACTAAGAAATGTTATCATTGGAAAACAGAAACATAACCACTTAAGAGAGAGTAATTGGATGCATGCAGAGATTGCTGATTATTCACTCCATACTGTTATTTACTCAGACAACTTTTCTTAGAATTCAAGAGATATTTCTACAGCCTAAAATTAATAGCAAGCAGTCACTCTTAACTTACCTTCATGTACAAAAAATAAATAAATAAATAAAAAATAATAATAGGAAAAAACAAATGTGAACCAGCACCTTGCTTGTATTCAAATGGTAAAACTATATAAAATGGAATTCTAGAGATAACTGATATATGGAAACACAAGGAAGATGGTGATTACTGTTTACCTGACTTGGAATTTGTCTTCTATAAAAAACTGACGAAGCTGAGAAATTGGCTTGATAGTCTGGGAGTGAATGAATATAGATTGAATAAAGCCCTTCATTCCCAGCAAAGAACCTCTCCCATAGTGGTGCTAAGGGTAGTTCCCCTCTTGTCAAGAACATAAATGCAATTTTTGGAGTTCTATTAAATGGGTATTCTTTTATTTGAGGTACAAAAGAAGCCCTCCAGAAGAGCTGAGTGTCATTCATAGTATGAAGCAAACTTGATGGAGGCTTAACCCATCTTTCTAAACCCTCCGGCTCTCTATGACAGGGATAGAAAGTGGAATGAAGGACTGGAACTATAGAATGGGTGCTGAAATACTGTATCATATACAAACTTGGAACAGAAAACATGAAGGCCACACCCATGAAGGACAAGAGAAACTGCAGTATTCTCAGCGGTAAGCCCCTTGGTTGATTTGTTTTGAAGTGGGTGGGATTGTTTTTCCCTACCTCCAATGCCAGTAGTCTGGCTTTCATCTTCAACAGTGCTAATTTCTTCTCAAATTTCAACTATGCGGGTACGTGGTTTATTAAGTCTGCTTCGTCGCCCAAAAGGAAAAAAGGGCGAAAGAAAAAGAGACCCACTGAGAAAAAAAGAGATGGGTCTGTCCTTTCACCACATGGGTATTTCTCAAGCACCAAAAATTTATTAAATCAAAACAAAATATTTTCGTAACAACCCAAAAAGTGAAGGTGTAGTTCCCTAATCATGCTAGGATTTCTAGGGAGTTATTCATCCCCAAACATCAGCAAGTTCTCGGTAAAAGGCAGTAATAAAATTGGAAGAACAAGGAGAGAAGAAAAAGGGACGAATTGATGAAGGGAGTGAGGGCAATGAATGCACATTGGCGGCATAGTCAAGGATGAATTTAATAAGGACGAATGAAATGCGTATAAGCCACAAAAGTGATTTGTCTCACACTTTCTGGGATCGTTTCTTAAATCGCGCCAGATTTTGGCGAATGTGAAATTGATGCTTGGTGGGCGAGGTTTAATGGGCTCTTCCATCTCCTAACTCCTATATGCCTACACAACTATGTAAACAGGTTTGTTCCTCTAGCTAGAGGGAACAGAGATTGATCTCTCTCTCTCTCTCTCTATAGAGAGAGAGAGAGAGAGAGAGAGAGAGAGAGAGAGAGAGAGAGACGTCTTGAAGATCATTTCCCTCGTGGGGTGATAGGGTTTGGCGCCTTTTGGCCTCACCAACTATGTTCCTCACGGTGCTACTTGTGAAAAGAGACGTTGCAGTTCGAAGAATCTGACAGACCAACCCAAAATCCACAAATAAGTGCACTTAAATAATGAAAATTTCTAAAGCAGGACAATTAATCAGATATACATTTATTTACTAAAACCACAAAAATTTTCGTACAAAACAATATAAAAACAGTCATAAAATAATTATATATGACTATATTTATTAATTAATATAATACTTTTGTTTTAATATTTAATAATTATATAATAATATTAAGTAATTGTAAAATAATTTCATTAAATTGTATAACTTTATACCAATCTACTATAAAATTAATGTCCATTTATACATTTTGTAATTTTCTCATTAAACAACTAGGGGCTGTTTGGTTTGCTATAAAATCCCTACAACATTTTCGTAAAGTTCAAGTATTTTTTTTGACTTTTTTGTACTTTACACTCTAAAAATAGGAGTTTTTGACACTTTATACTTTAAAATTATAAGTTTGGCACTTAATATCCTAAAATTACAAAAAGTTTACCTTATTTTGTTTGACCATTAAAATTAAGAGTAAATTTAAAATTTTATATAAATGGAAAGTAAAAGATCATAAATGACTTGAACTCTCCAATTTTTATTTTCACTCAATTTATATACACATTAATGACTTGTAAAAGATTAAAAAACTTGATATTGTTCAAAATTTCAAAATTTTAAAACTAAAAATAAATTTTTGGTTAAAAAATATAAACAATTTTTTTTAAAAAATTAATATGTAGAAATTTTTTATATATTTCTAATTCCAGTAATGGGCAGAAAGACAAAACCATCCCTAAAATAAAAATGTCAACACTCAAATTGTTCTATTAATAATAATTATTGTTTAGGTCCCATTCTCTCTCTAATTCTATCAAATTATCTATTCTCTCTAGTTTTATTAGAATTATGTATATTTCTTATTTGTGTATAATATTTATTCTCGCTCTAATTTTATCAGAACAATTTTTTAGTGGAGAATAATTTTATCTAGACATTTGATTGTCAAATACTTGCTTATATTTTTTTTATTGAAACTTTGTTTTTAGTTTTAAAATTTTAAAATTTTGAATAATATCAAAATTTTTAATCTTTTACATGTTGTTAATGTGTATGTAACTTGAGTGGAAGTTTTCTAATTAAAATGGAAATAACAAAAAATGGAAGGTTCAAGTCTTTTATGGTCTTTTTACTCTCCATATATATGAACTTATAAATTTACCTTAATTTTAATAGTTAATCAAAGATATGGTATACTTTTTGTAATTTTGGAATGACAAATGCCAAATTTATAATTTCAAAGTGTAAAGTTCCAAAAACTCCTATTTTCGAGTACAAAATGCTAAAAAACCTTTTTTCTTTTTGTTCATCAAGATTTAAGATAAAGAAAACTTGAGTGGAATTCTAGGTTTGGGTTTTAAATTACATTAAACACCCTTTAATTCAAACCTAAGGGGAAAAAAGGGACCCAAATTAATATTTCCCATATTTTCATAGTATTAATGAGGAATTTGAATTTCCTTTTTTAATTAATCAAGTCATCAGAGTTTCTAATGTTGCAATGTATCCTTTGTGTGTAGTTATTTCCACCAATGTCATTGTATTATTTAAAACAGGGTTATGGGACATGTGGTGCAAAGAACATTATTTCCTTAAAAAGTTTTTGTCAAATTGAGAGCAATATTAGTTATGTTAGGTGGTAAAAATTATGGGAACGAAGAAATTAATTCTATAGTGGCCCTTTTCCAAAAAGCCAATAGCTTAAATTCAATTCATCACGTGAAATTTAATATTAGGGTCCTAACTTCTCATTTTTCTTCTCTCTTTTAGAACCCTAAATAACCTATTTAATTTTTACCCCCCAAAACCCATACTAGTAGCATCATTCTTTTAATTTTTTTTGACAATAAAGCATAATATGTGTCTTTTTCCCATTTCGACCATTAAATATTTATTGTAAAAAGAGAGATTGTGACATACGTAATTTTCAACTTTGAAAAATCTATCTATTTTGATAAATTATTTTAGGATTTATATATTTTGAGCCAGTGGGTATGGAATTAGTGGTAAGACAATCTAATGTTTACATAAAAAAGTTCAAATTCAAATAATGAAAACTCGTTTTTGAGGAAAGGTAGCCATAGTACCTAAACAGAATTCATCTTAAATCATAAAATGGATGATGATACCTGTAAGGATTTAAAAGAAAGATTTACCTATTTTAGTAAATTATATATGTATACATATTATATAAAAGCTAATTATTTAAATTTAAATAAAGAAAAGGGCCTAACTGCCTTAGGAATATGCTTGGGAACTTAAGAGCTTATTGTTTTTAATGGAATAAAGTTAAAAAAATTGTGATAATTCAAGGGTTTTACTGTAGTTTACCTAAACTAATTACCTTGTAACATTATAAGTACTGATAATTATTATTAATTCATATTATTTTATACCTTTGTTTACCCAAGAACAATCAATCATGGTTCTTATTAAAATGCATGCATATATGTTACTGCTCAATTAAAAGGGATGATCAAGAGAAATTAAATAAAAAAAGTTAAAAAATTTATTATTGATAAAGAAGATGTTAACAATCACACCCATAAAATTCTTTATTCATTAAAAATAAAATATGAGATAATGGATATAATTTAATTGAATAAGTTTTTTTTGAAATGTCATTTGAAAAATATTTAATAATTAAGTATATTACCTCAACACTCCTCACAACATATACTTTTTTTAAAATAATTTTCAAAGTTATCTTTTTGAATTTTCTACATAAATACAAATTATACAAAAATAATAGGAGTATATACCTCCTAAATTAGAGGGGCAACATTAAATGTATAATTTCATTATATATCGATTTTTGAGAGTGATATGATATAGTATATAAAAAATTAGAGATTATAACTGAATAATTTAGGTTTAAGTATTTTAAGTCAATGACTTTAGCTTAACAAATTGTTGGGATCAATAACTTTTGAATTGTTATATTAAAGATTTAAAATGTAATAGGACCACATTTACATTAAAGCTCAATGCCATAGACAGCAAATTTGGTCTAAGTTTGGTGCCTAAAATAGTAGACTTTTGGTCTCAAAATTTGGCGCCATAAAGAAAGTTTGATATGTTATTATTTTGCACAGCCAATTTTGGCCCTAGGTTTGAACGCGTGAGCTGTATACTATAGCTTTATAATTGTAGCATTTCAACTTTAGATATTTCTTAGATTGTATTGCATCTCATACAAATATATATTATGGTATAATTTGTCTAGTATATAATATATATATATATATATATATATAATTTATGTAAGACAATAATTTAAATTGTAAAGAAAAATTTTCTTAGGATTTAATTTTGCTTGTTCACAATCTTAGGAAAGGAAATGGGCTTTTAGGAGGCTTAATTATAATTAGACATTAGGGCAACCATAGGAATGGAAAAAATAGAAATTTGTTAGAAAAGAAAATAAGTGGCTAGTAGATAAGTTAAATTGAAAGTGAAGATTTTGAGGATTTAATGAAATAAATGCAAAAATAATAAAAATATAAATTTATTTTTATTTGAGACCTATATTGCCAAGGGGGTTAAAAGGAATTTTTAAAATTTTCTAGGGACTAAAAATTAAATTCTAAAAGTTAAGGGATTCAAATGCAATTAATGAAAAATTTGGAGGGCTTAAATATAATTTTAAGGAGTGTAAGTCGGCCAAACTGCTGACTTACACAATGAGGCATATATATACCTCCCCCCAGCTGGTTTTCATGCAAGGCAAGAGGAAAAGAAAAGAAGAAAAGAAAGAGAAAAGAAGAAAGGCGAAGAAGGAAGAAAATAAAGAGAAATTAAGTAAGTTTCTCCATGGGACTTTATATTTCAAGTAATTTTCTTCAAATTTTTCACTAGATTAAGCTAGCTAATCACTTGTTCTTATATATATATGATTTATATTTCATTCTTGAACAAGATTGATGGCTGAAATTCCAGCATAGCTGAGACCTTACCTAGTAAATTCGAGAGTCAAATTTTAACATGTTGCTAGAATTGGTTAGAAATTCGATTTTCCTTGATTAACATGAAGTCTTTATGAAAATATGTGGGATTTTGAAGGAGGTTACAGTGCAGAGGAGGGGGGTGGCTGAACCTCTCAAGGGGAACAAAAAACATGCATGTATATAGTATGTATCTTGTAATTGTTTATGACTTTAAGTGTTTCCATGGCTTAAATGACAATTTTGGTG